GAAAGAAAGCTCTGCTACTTTGCTCAACCTAAAACGTGTGACAGCAGATTGCCAGCAGCCCACCAGGCATGAACTGATTATCCTTTGATATTTTCCAATTTGACTCCAATTTGCTCTTTCCGAAAGTTCTCTTTTACACAGTTTCCTGTTTCTTCAAACCTCCAGCATCACCTGCCTACTCCTCACACCCAACTAATGACCTTGATTCTTCTTCCACTGAGAAAATAACAGGGGAGAACCCCCTCCCATCCCTCCACTAGATCCTTCAACCTTTGTGGAATTAGACCCCAATTTCTGTACTTCCCTCACACTGCTGATAAGAAGGATGAACTCTCTTCCTAGTTAGGACCAATTTCCACTAGCGAGTGGAATATCATTTCTCCCTCTCTACTCATAGGAATCTCCACTCTCTTGTATCATCAAATTTCCCCCTTCAACTGGATCATTCTTAGCAAGATACTAACACACTATAATCTCTCCCACCAATGATCCTCACATTTTTCAAACCCAGTGGAGAATTATCAGACCTCATGTTACTTATCTGTATGTTTATTACTCCTTTCTCTTGGAATACTTAGCTCACCTGACATCAGGGAAACTCATTCACTTGGTTTTCTTCATATCTCATGGCTACACCTTCTCAGTCTTCTTCTGCGAGGTCCTCTCTAAAAGTTGAAGACTTCCTTTCCTGCCTGTCCAGAGTGACTCCTTTCCAGTCTTTCCAATCCTGGCCACTCCATTAAATTCCAGATGCATCTATCCACTGCACTCTTGACACCTCCACTGGTGATCTACTAGTTGAATTCCCCTAAGCATAACCTCCCTGTTCCAATCATTGTTATTTCTCCAAAGATATGGGACTCTAAAACTAGTTAGCTGCTCAGATGCAAGTGTGGGGTGGATAGAAATTTGGTTGTACCCAGCCATGGGGTTCTTCCAGATAAATGAGATGAGCAAATACATGTGAGTTATTATAAAAGTCTCTGAAAGCAAGACTACCCTATGGATAGAAAGTAACACATTCATGTACAAAAGAGGACACTTGTGATGGGTTTTGATAAATCACTAGAGAAAAAAAGAAAAGGTTATAGGGTTATTTCTTTTCTTATATTGCTATCAAAAACATGAATTCCATTTTTACACTAGATTTTTCTTCTTTTATTCAAATGGCACGGCTATTTCTTTCCCATCCTCTCCTTGATCAGCTTTATCTTTGTTGCTTATGTTCCTGGATGTAATAAATTCTTTGAACCATATACTTCAGGTAACACGTTCTTAGTTCAAGTACTCCCGATAATTCCCAGGACGTTCCAGACAAGTTGAGGGACTATGCTTGGGTTGGCAGCTGTGACAGATGTCATTGCAATTTCCAGCAGCAAAAGCATGCAGTTATATCCACAGTTCCATGTTCATAGAATCCATGCCAGCACAACAAGTCTCCAGGGCTTTTCAGAGGAGCGTGGCCGCACAATTGCCCTCTGGCTAAGAAATCATATTCCTCACTTTGATCTTCCTCTTCAAGTCACGTCTCAAAAACACATCTGCTGTTGGACCCTCGGCATTTGATTTGACCCCAAGTACTTTTCCTTCTTCTATGTCCTAGCCAGTAGTTCTCCCAGCCTTAAAATCTTCAAGCATGACGAGGCCTTATTAACACTTCTACAACTACTTTTTAAAGTTCAGGAGACTTCCAGTTTTCTAATGAAAGGTCACTATTTAAAACTCTCAAAAACCATCAGTACAGATTTCTTACCTTTCTTTCCTATTTTCTAACTGAAAAATAGCAATCGGTCTCTGGCTGACAGTTTATTTCATAGTAGGATCATGCTCTGGCCATGTTAGGAAATTCCCCCAGCAGCAACTGAGGCCATTTACTGACAGTGACTCTCTGTGCTGGAAAACTTGTTAGAAGATAAGAAAAATGCCATACCCCAGCCACTTAGTGCCACAGGTCACCTTATTGTTTCTCGGGATGTACCTGATAGGAGAATAAGAAAAGAAAAGAAGTTTTGTTGACTATTTAGAGTGGGCTGTGCATTTCTCATGTTATTTTACTTATTCCTTACTTTTAAGGTTATTGTTATTTTCTTCACTTTGTAAGTGAAGAGGCTGATGCTAGTGAGATTAAATAAATTGCTAAAGCAAGGGTGAATGGAACTAGTCATGGGCAGAGTCTAAATTTGAACTCGGGGCTGATTCTATTAATTTGCTTTCCATTTCACCACATCACCTCACCAAGATCTCAGTAGAAATATGATTAAGGAACTGTCCTTGAAACTTTACCCTTTTGTTGTGTTTAACTATGTTAATGCATAATTAGAAATCTTAATCTTTTTGTCTTTACAGGGAATAAATGGAAAAGATGGGTTACCAGGTGCTCAGGTATGGAAAATATCATTTAAAATAAAAGTTCCAATGCATACTGCATTCAGAATACCTACCAACATTTAGGTCAATTAGATTGATGAAAACTCTTAGAAAGCAGTGATTCTTAGTGTTGGCATCTGTTTTTCAGGGCATCATGGGTAAAGCTGGAGATAGAGGCCCCAAAGGAGAACGTGTATGTATATTACTATTGTGATTGTTATTCAAGTCTGTCTTTTACGACTTTGTCATATTTGGGTTACACAATTATGTATCTAGACCCCTACAAATCTCCCAATATGAAAAGAGGGTATATGACCCAAGATCTCTGCTAGACGTAAAATATGACAATCAAAGGACCCAGAGTGGGTCATATGGTAGGAACACTACATAGTTGACCTTTGCACACAGCTAAGTCTACTTTGCTACTCCAGTTTGGAAAGTTTTTATAATACTCCTATCTCAGACACAAATCTCTACTATAACCATTACCCATGGTTTTTTTTTTTTTTGTTTTTTTTTACTTAAAGTAGGGTTTCTCAGCCTCAGCACTGTCGCTATTTGGGGGCAGATACATCTTTGTTGTGGTTGGCTGTCCTGTGTATTTATTGCAGAATGATGAGCAGCATCCCTGATCTCTGTCCACCAGATTCAGGTGCACTACCATGCCTCCACTTAAACGGCAACCAAAAGTGTCTCCAGACATTGCCAATTGCCTCCTATATATCAAAATCACACTCATTGAGAGCCACTGACCTCCAGAAAGATTACGTAGAGTAAAGAAGGTGGTGTGAGGGGCTAGAGAAATGGAAAGGGGCAACTGAATGTATACTGGTCACTAGTAATGCCGATTATGTTATATGCTTTTGTTTGAATTATTTTGGTTGCTGATATCATTATTGCAATTTCCCATTATCTTCTTAAGTGAACTGTAACATTTTCTAGCAGGATTACAGTCCTGCCACTGTAATGGGTTACTCAAGCATTGTTATTCAGTGTCATTCTATGTAATTCTAAACATGTGTGTTTGTATACTGGTGTCTGGTTTAGGAGATTTTGTTATTACACAAATAATCCATAGTAACTGAAAAAAGTGTGAAAATACTGATTATAAATTTTAAAAGAAGGAAAATATATTTAACTTATCTCACTTATCCCAGCGATAAGCACTTTGGTATTTTGGACATTATTTCCATCTCTCTCACTCATGTGTGTAGTATACACATATATGTATTAATGTAATAAATGTATACACTTCCCAAAATGGGTTTACACTGTCTTACAAATGACTTTTTTCACCTAACAGTATATAATGACCCTCTTTCTCTGTCAGTAAACATAGATCTACATCTACCTTTTAATTGTTATTAATATATGTTATTATGCTTGAATATACCTTACTTCACTTACTAGTCCCCTTTTTCTGGGCATTTAGATTATTTCCAGTTTTCTTAATAATAAACATCACCATAATGAACATATCTGTACCTAACTTATAAAATAATTTTAATAAATTAAAGATTTTGTTTATTTTACACGTGATCAGTGTATTGATCATTGGTCAAAGTATGCTGGTATTTTTTTTAAGTCATCTCAGAAATTTCTGCAAATGTGAGCTGGGTTGATAAACTTGTATACAGATATATTTTTATAACAAAGACAATAGCATTGAGGCCCAGTTATTTTTCTTTCTTTATGCACAGCTTCTTTCTATATCTCTTCAAATTCCATATCACATAGATCTCTGTAATTGTTCATTTCTTTTCATTATTTTTAAAATCAAGATAAATAGAGTTTGGCCTTTTGCAGAGTAGTCACAAATAAAAGACTGATACAATGAGATAGAGGGCAGCTTCAAGCACCGTTTCATCATATTTGGTGTGAACATAACCTCCTGGAGTTGTGCAAATGAATCTTTGAAAAATCTATGACTGCCATGATCTCTCTCTCCCCATCTCTTGCACAAATACATACAGTAGTGGATACATTGCAGGATAAAAGAGAGTATTAAAGAAACTTAATATCAGATTCGGGCACGTCTAATATTATCTTTTTCTCATATATTATGACATCTTACTCAATTAATTCTCTTACAGTTCATTCATGCTACCAAGTAAATGATCTCAGTGACAACCGTTGCCCCACAAGTCACCTGCTGTGAACCTTCTCAAAGGCTCTACCTTCTCACCTTCCTGTATCATATATATTTAGGACACAGCGATCACGCTCACATTCACACACACACACACACACACACACACGCATACACGCATACACATGTAAGACACGAGTACAGAAGACAAACCTGAAGAGTCTAATAAAGACCAATTAAACTGAAGAAAGTGGAGAATGGGGAGAAGCACATGATTTAGGAGACGTTTTGAGTGTCCTGAAGGTTTTTTTAAGTGAAAAATCTCAGCGATGAGATCCTCTTGGCGACCCTGCTTTATTATTGCAAAGGAGACCCAGGCCTCTAGCGACAGCTGGTGTTGACTTTCAAAAGCGCCACCATTCTAGACTAGCAACCAAGTGCAACGAACATCCTGGCTAACGTTTATGTATAGAGTGCTTCCCAGGTACCAGGCATTTTTGCAAGCGCTTTTCTTGGGTCAATTCATTTATATCTCAACATCGCGCCACTTAGTGTGTACTATTAATATCCCCACTTTGTAGGAGAGGAGGCCGGGGCGCAGAGTTCAATCCATTTGTCCAAGGCCCCATAGCTAATAAGTGCCAGTGCCCATCCAGAACCTTTGCTCCTTGCCACAGCTGATGTGGCTCCAGAAGAGATCATTCTTTATCTTTTTTTTTTTTAACAGGGTGATCAGGGAATTCCAGGAGACAGAGGCCCACAAGGTGAACGGGGAAAACCAGGCCTTACAGGAATGAAGGGGGCCATAGGTCCTGTGGGGCCACCAGGAACTAAAGGCTCTATGGGATCCCCTGGCCACCAAGGCCCTCCAGGGTCTCCAGGCATCCCTGGCACTCCGGTAAGTGGTGCTGGGAGTTCTAGGGGCCCCTGGCTTGTATGGACTGTGTATCACTTTTACAATGAAAGCAATGATAATGCCTTTTAAATAAATAAAACAACGCTAAATTGGTCTCTGAGGGGGTAACAGTGGCTGTCATTTAAAATTATGTGCCAAACCCTCTGCTAAGCCCTTACATGTTTGCAATGCGTAAATTACGAAATAAACTTTATCACGAAATGGGTAAAACTTAGTAAGTTTTGTCCCGTGAAGAAAACATTTTAAAGAATAATCCAGCATACTTGTAGTTGTCCTCCATGTTCTCTTCCTTTGAAGATACATTATGAAAATCAGATATTGACTTTGGCAGTATCCAGGGATAGATTAGAAGTTAAATTGGTTAGAAGTTAAATTGTGATTGGGATACTCACATCATGATAACATGCTTTAACTTTATAAAATAAAGTAACATAAAATGTCTTTTCTAATTGTATAAAGCCATATCTTTCTATTTAATAGGAAACATGTTGATATCATTGGTTATATTAATAATTCCAGCCCACAGCTTTTAAAGCATTTATGCACTTCAACTTATTCCCAAATTTGATCAAAACAGGAAATATCTATTGCCCAATATAGTCAATTGTCAAAAGCATGTTTCTTGATAAATGTATCTCTACAGAAGTTTCAAGTATGCACACCAACCCAATTATTTCTATTCTTTATTCATTTGTGTTATGCTCTGTTTTAACAGATCTTTTTTTCCCCCTTCTTTAGGCTGATGCAGTTTCATTTGATGAAATAAAGAAGTATATTAACCAAGAGGTCCTAAGGATTTTTGAAGGTTAGATTTACTTAGTAACATTTATGAAGTTTTCACTGATTCCCGCCTCCCATCCACTGTGGGGAATCCTTTCAGCAACATTCTTTAAAGACAGTCATGCAACAGCAAAATTCTTCCTTACACTGTTACATTTTTGCCCCCCTGAAACTTCCTCTCATCATGCCTGTTCTGCAAAATGACATAGGTGAAGTATCTTCTTTTATTCACATAACATCCCTTTGAGTATTTTTCAATATCCATCATATTCTTCCTTAGTTTTGTATAGAGTATTTGTGTCTAGCTTCCTCACTATTGTCATCTTGGGAAATGCTTAGTTTGTAAATGGCTCCCATTTACTCAAGACAGTTTTGACCAAGGCATAGTACAGTGTCTTCCAATTAAGACCAAGGCCGGGGAACTGTAGCCCACAAGCCAAATCCACCTGCCACCTGTTTCTGTGTGGCCTAACAACTGAGAATGATGTCTGATTTTGGGGGTGGGGAGTGGTCACTTTTTCAATGGATTTTAAAAATCAAAAGAAGGATATTTCATGATATGTGAAAATGATCTGAAATTTGAATTTATTTCCATAAATAAAGTATTGGATCACAGCCATGCCCATTTCTTTACATATCTTCTCTGACTGCTCTCACATTATAGCAGCAGAACTGAGCAATCATGATAGGAAAACTATAGTCCACAATGGCTTCAATATCTACTGTCTGGTCCTTACAGAGAAGGTTTTCTGACCCCTTCTCTAGAATTTCAATAATTCAGCCTAAGATAGCATATTTTTAAAAGCATCATTATCATATTGTTGATTCATTTTGAGTTTTCAATTAACTAATAACCCTGGATCTTCCTTATACAAACATTTTTAAATGAGGTGTTTCTCATTATGGATTTGTGTTCATTTTTAAAATCTAAGTGTGTGATCTTATGTTCCTTCTTATTAATTTCAAATGCTTTATGTTCATATCTTGTTGCAACCTAAAGGTATGTATTGAAATCTTATCTCTTGTAGGGCAAGTTGGCTGACCGTGCAACTTTACAACTACATTTTTTAAGCATGTCATCATTCTAGTTGTTTGAAATGTTGAATAAAAAAGCCAAGAGTCAAGGATTAGGCCTTTCTAAATGCCACTGGATTCTTCTACCCACTTGTAAATCATCTATTAATCCATTGTTGATTGATCTCTGAATCCATACAGTTATCCTAAAAATACACTCTACATTTCTTTGTCTATTCACAAGAATATCACATGATTTTTTCAAATGATTTGCTAAAATCAAGAACTCTTCCCTCAACTGTAAGATTAATAAAATGGGTATTATTTGTCTTAAATAAATAAATCCACATTGATTCTCATGGTTTCTACTCCCTTTGTATAGCATCCATAAGCCAAAATAGATTGTTGAATTGTATAAGGAATAATATTATAAAATACTACGAGTACATCTTGAGGCTTTCTGCTACAAACATGGAATCGGCTATACTCCAAGGAACCCTGATTATTTTAAATAATAATTAGCATCAGAGACTGAAATCTCAGTGCTTTGGTGAACATTATCTTGTTTTTCATAAGCACTGGAGTTAGAGCAGAGTAACAGTAGAAATTTTAGCTGCTTTAGTGACAGTACAGTCATGAATTAATGCCGTTGATTTCAATTTACTTTGATCTCTATCCACTAAGTGTCTTTACCCTGGTCTTATTTGACAGTTTATTAATGCAATTGACCACTCTTTTTTATTGAACTGTCAGTCTTCTCTTTGTAATTTTAATGTTGCCTTTAAATTTAGAAATCTCTTTTCTTTTCTTTTTTCTTTTGAACTGTGCATCAAGCATCATGGAATGGGCTCTAAAATTTGCAATCCAAGCATTCATTTCCCCCTCAAAAAGCATCCCTCAAGCATCAACTGCTTGAAAAAGACATCTCAAGCTCTCCAGGGGAACACCAAAGAATACATAAGTGGCTACATAATCTGCAGGGCTCAATGAAAAGTGAAAGTGCAGGTGCATTTGTTCAAAAATGATTGAGAATTTTAAGACAGCCAGAGTAGAGCATTAAACTAAGCACAGGGCCCCATGAGACCGCACAGGTAACACGCCCATGAGAGCCGGTCCTGTGCACAACATACCTGGGATCTCAGACAGCATCCATGCCTTTAACTGGCCACAACCATAAAAAAGAGAAATGCTAGCAAATGTATGTTGTTGAATTGCAATCTAAAGTTTTCCTTTAACTCTTTATTTCTGTAGGCTCTAGTGTCACTGTCTTTTATCTCAGATAGCTTTAATGTTGAACTTCATTCTCTTAAAAGGCTTTAGATAGAAACACATTTAATTGCTTACTAGTTAATTAGTCCAACTTTTTGAAGACTGATTAAGAATGCCAAAAAATATAACCAAGCATTTTCAGAAAAAAAAAAAAAGTGATATATTGAGATATGAGAGGTGTTCATTTTGCAAATCCAGCAGACACCAGCATGGCCCCTGGTGGCCTGTTGTGTGCATTCAGCAGAGGAGACATGGCTACTTCCACCTGGGGAGGGCTCCACGCTGCCCACTCCCAGGCCGTTCTATGGCTACTCTTAGGAAGGGCTGTCAATGTTCTGAGGAGTGAGGTCAAGGGAATCGGGCCACCCTCCATCTATCTTAGGGCAGATGGCTTGCACTTTCTGATCAGCTCCTCCTCTAAGTCTGCATCCTTCCCCTCTGAGTTCCTGCCCCTTCCTCCTCTCTCAGAGTCCTCCCTCTCTGGACACTGACAGGGGCAGAGTTTCCCCCAGGTCTCCTCTGACTTCACCCCCATCTCTCCTACTGCCTCTCTCAGTCTCTTCCAGGTGGCAGTGGCGGTCCCCCACGAGAGCCAGGGCTCCCTCAGGAGCCACAGATGTCTCAGCCTCAAGACAATATTCTAAAGTGACCCATAGGAAATCTTTTCCTGAGTCGTCTAGACTCTGAGACTCCATATATTCTACCCCTCTCCTTTTATCTCTGTTGACACCAGTCCAGCAAAACTGTCTTCTCCCAAACAAAATTGTACCCAAAGCCCAGAATTTAGTTATTTAGCACTTAAGTTCATTTGTCCCAAGATCGTTTCGATTCAGTCCATTTCGTTTTCCACTGAGAAGTCACATTTCCCATGGCTTCCGAACACCACTTACAGAAAGGAAAAAAAAGAAAACTTCATTTTCACAAATCCTGGAGCTCCAAGGTCACGGTTCTCTCTTTCAGAAAGCTTTCTCCCTAAAACAAAGATTAAGTTTCACATGTTAAAACAGTTACAGGTAAGCAGTGCAGACAGTTAAGTGCTACAGTTAGGTAGCACTTGCCTGCCTCTCCTTTCTTGGCGGTTTCACAAGGGACAGCGTCAGTGACAGCCAGTGCCTCTCTCTGCTGCACGCACCAGCGCCCACCTGCAGCCTCGGGAGCCATTCTCTCTGCGCAACCGGTCAGGGACTGTCAGCTGGGGCTCGAGGGAGTCTTTGGGAGATCCTGTTCCCCCCACACACTTATCCCAGATGTCCAGATTAGAGCCTCCAGTGACATCCTAGACCAGGACCCAAAATTTGAGATCTCGTGATGGGGCTTTTCAACCCTCTGTGGGGCTTCCCGGGTGAGTCCACGGCCACAACATCCTCAGATCTCACACCGTGGGCTATTTCCCAGGCTGCTCACCCCTCCTTTGGCATCCTTACACCCCTCCCCTGACCTAACCATGGTGGAAGGAGGTGTCTTCCCAGCAATCCCAAGTCTCTGTTCCAGGTGGATCACGATACACAAACATGCATCCACTTCGAAGTTAGATTAAATTCCCAATCTGATTAGCCAACAACAGATGGAGTCCTTTTGCAAGCAAAGTGACTACACGGAGCAAGGACAGATGCTGTCTGTGTGTTTCAGCTTAGTGTCTTGTGGCTTTATAAGGGCTTTGCAGATGCCCACACAAATTAGGATCTTGCCAGAGCTAAAATTTCAATTCTTGCTATTACACCATCCTATCATACTGGAGGATTTACATCAACATGCAAGAAGAATTTACCAACCTATACAGAAATGTGTACAAACATCTGGCTCTCTTAGTTCTTGAGATAAACATGGGCCCAACAAGGCCATGCCTGCAACTGCAGGAGAAAAGGAAGATAAGAGCTAAATGTCCCTGAACAATATATCTGTCTGCAGATTTCCAGTGTTCAGGAAATTCCCTTACCTATGGTTTCTCCATTTTTCATACATATGTTTCAGATACATATATATGAATGAATGTGAATATCTATTATCCTGTTCTCTTGTTTCAAGGTTGTAAGCTCTTCTCTTGCCTCTCTACAACTAAGATTAATTTATGTGTATATACATATATACACATTACCTGACAGATATACATCACTGGAGATATAAATGTAGATCATTTTTAAAAATATGTTTTACAACATACTCCATGTTACTTCCAATTTGCTTCTTTCTGTTTATTTGCTTGGGACTCTATTGTTCAGTTTATAGGATTTCCTTAGTTGTGCAGTAAGGCTTGGTAGTCTACTCATATATAAGAGCAGGTTTTCAAAAGTTGATTAAAAGTTGTGAGTGAACAGTAGGGCTTGCCAACTATGAGCTTCACTGTAGGGTGGTCTAGCTGGGCTGTTTAAGTGAGGGTCCCTTGATTTCAGTTTCTTTAAATCTTTCCTCTTAGTGTGGTCAGATTTCCCAGTGGAAACGCTTCCATTCCCTGCCTGGCTACCAGCTCAACACTGAGCGCATCAACATTCCTTTATTTTTCTTAATTTCAGTATGGAAGCCCAAGTATTGGTGGAGTCTAGGGTTCCCAGTGCAGAGACAGACTATTTACCCTTTTTAGATAATTATCCTTCAGCCTTTTGCTAAGGTTGGTGAAAGGCCACTGCCCAGCTATATAGAGTAGAGAAAGAAATTTCAAAGACTACTTCTTAAACAAGCTTTCAACCTTCACCCCCCCCCCCATTTCCAGAGGTAACTCGTACTGCCAATTCCTGAGCCTCCCGA